TCTCGTGGTGAGATCAACATTTCCAGTTTGTTTCCAGTTTCAACCAACAGTGAATGTGCGTCATTTGAATCCACCACGACCTGGGAATGTTAGCTCTTCACAGGATCAGGAGGTTGGTTTAGATTAAGAAGGCCTTTCATTCATTTGATCACATCATATTAGGCGGTTGTTCAACATAACAACCTGCCACCCATTGCAGATCTGTAGTTTAAAGCAGAGCTTACTGAGGTTCACTGATGAGGTTTTTATCCTTCCCCTGGATGATATAGCCAATTGATCTCAGAACATTGTTCATTGACTCTATATAAAGGAGTCAAAAAGGCACATTAGTGCCTCCAGCTTTCTAGGTCCAGGCTGTGTCTCTTTTATCTTCTCTGCCCTCATCTTCCAAGTTATATTTACTGCGTAGCGGAAGCACAGGTACATCTTCATTGTTCTTCAATTGTCGGATCTGTGTTCTCAGATTGTGTAAGTTATTAAATATTGATTTGTTTCGTGATACAGAAGAGCAGTGTTAAAACCCTGAAGGATCTTTGTAAAAGGGTCTCCCAGCAACAGTCAACATCTGTGTCACTGACTCCCTGCAGGGCAGAGGATTTCAATCAGGCACCACTCCAGATCTTCATCAACTGCTTTCTGTAGGAATCTTCTACTGTGGAACCATATTTGGGAAAATCTACCCTGAGCAAACATCTGCCAGACTGAGTGGTCCCATCACCTCCCGAGTTAATATTGGCATCTTAAAATCTCTCATATATTATTATTATTAAGGATTATTATTGTTGTGACTTTTCAAACAACATCGCTTTTTAAACTGTTTCCCCTATCCCCCACCAATAGAAAACTCTTCAACCAAAATAAGACTTAATTAAAAAAAAGTTGAAGTTGATCAGTTCACTCAACAGATCTTTTAGTTGGACTAATGAATAATAATCCTTCCTAATTGATATAACACATTAAGGAGTCAAGCCGTTTCAAATCGCTTCACAGGAGTTTACTGTAAACTGTTGCGTATTTTGTAGGCAAACGTAGCGGCCAATTTGCACACAGCAGTTTCCCACAAACAGCCATGAAGTGAATGACCAATATTATCTGCAGTTTGTGGATATTATGTGGCAGCATCAGAAAGTCTGAGGATAAGGAGTCAGTGTAAGGAGCCCAAGCTCAGAATGAATGTAAAGCCACCACAATCGGAATTTTAAATGTTACATGTTATTTTTTTCATGCAAGTTTCAAATTTTAAACACTGAGCCTATTCCCATAGGTGCTGAATACCGATGTGTCAGATTAGACCAGAACTACGTTCTGCCAGTAATGTTTCCCGACAATGAATAGCGCAACTGTGCATTTTCTAGCAGTTAAATCAGAAGCAATATTGTAAGCGTTAATGTCTTTGGGACGAACATGAAAGTTTAGGATCACAACAACAACAAAATTGCATTTGTAAAGCGCCTTTCATGTTGGGAGGACGTCCCAAGGCGCTAAGAATAACATGATATCAGCCTGTGACTCCTTCCTGAGAGACAGTTCCACATTCTTGCTGAAATCGGCTGGATTGTATGTCACCACATATGTTTAACAACAACGACTTGCATTTATATAGTCATGTAAGATGGCATCTCGGAGCACTGCAGAATGTATCTTCTGAAAGATGGATGAGATTGGATTCCTTGTCCAGATTCTCAGCTAACCTCCTCTGTGCTTAAATTGTTCAATTCTTTTATGATTGTATTACCCTAAAGTCGTTGTCGGGGATTCCTTCTGTATTTCGTAGAGAAAGATAGCAATAAATAAATTATACAGTGTTTTAGTGTCCAGATAAAATATCCTGCGCTCAGAATCTCACATTTCACAAGATATCTTTTGTAATCCTGTTTCTCAGACATAAAGTAGATGCAGTCGTATAAAAGGCAGATTAACCCATAGGCATTTCTGGTTGGTGCCTCACACTCAGCAATAAATCCTGGCAATAGTAGCAGAAAAGAGGATTGCTCCTGATCCTAATATAATTCAACTAACTGGGTTAGGGTTCCAATACTTTTTCAGTGGTGAGATGTGGTGGAGGAATAAACAGCATAGTAGATTAATTTAGATTTAGTCATGTCTCAGGATTTTGCCAGGGAAAGTTTCACTTTTAGACATACTTTTCCTTGATGATTTTCTTGGGGGGATTTCACAAATTTTACAGCTCAAATCCATTTTGTCCTTAGCAAGACCTCCTTTTGTTTGATTGATCACCCGAGTTAGGGGCTGTGTGCAATCTTTTGCACGTTAGGTGGTATAAGAACAAAATTGACACAAGGAGTCCTGTAGCTCAGTGGTTAGAGCATTTGTCTCGCAAGCGAGAGGACCTGGGTTTGACTCCCGGGCAGGGCGAAGCGTTGGGCAAGTTTCCTTACTCCACACAGAGCCTAATGATAATCCCTCCAAAAACCCAAAACAATAATAAAAATTGGTCATTTTCAATCTACGACTGTTTGTGGGACATTGCTGTGTGCAATTGGCTGCCGCGTTCGCCCACAAATATACAGTCAATTCACTTTACAGTGTGTTCCGTGAAGCGCTTTGGGACGTCCTCCCGACGTGAAAAGCGCTATATCAAATGCAAGGATTATTATTATTAATCGGTGTACTGCTTTCCCGGGGATAACAAATAATTTGTTCATCCAATCCCCAACTGTTTGTGGGAGCGCAATTGGCTGCTGCGTTTCGCCCACAAATATACAATCAATTCACTTTACAGTATACTGGAGGGTGGAACTGCAAAGGGAGAGAGAAACAAATGAACCACAAATGAGATGGCGGGGTTGGTGGGGTGTTGGAAGTTTCGGAATAGGAAACTCAGCAAAAAAAAATAATTCAGTCTGAACTCCTTTGAAGAACAAACTGGTTAAGTGTCTGATTAGGATGGGATTGAAGGTTACAGGGATTAATGTGGACAGTAATAATCAAACGCTTCATGGAACACAATGGTTCCTGTGCTGATGTGCCCAAGGAGGCATCACAGGCAAAGCAGCCAGCCACGCCTGAGTAACGGCAATGGATGTGGGTAGATGATATTCCACAGTGCAAATGATTACCTGGGGAGGATGTGGAAGATATTTTGCAGAGCTTTGCCTTCGGAGATTAAATAAATTGGATAGAGTCCCTGATGGGCTAGGTGGGACATCTGTGAAAGGAACCAGCCTTACGGGCCAGGTGACCTTTTCTAGTTTAGTATTTTATAGTCTTCTTTCTATGTCACAATTTTTCTGATCATCCTAATACGTGGCTTCAGATAGCTGAACAGAAAGTGATGTGTTAAACCTGTGAATGAGGGACAGAGATTCAGCTGATAAATCTGTTTGGTGTAAGGTCACACAGAAATCATCCATTTCTTCTGTATTTCTCTATATCGACCTTGTCTCTACCTTGTGTGTCTGATTCTCCATCTATGTAGTGTATTTGTGTCTGTCTTTTAATTCTTTAGGTCTTTCTACCTTCCATTGCAATGAAGGTTTATCTATCAAACATATCGTGTGCTTGCTTACCCACCTGCTAGCTTACCTGTTGGAACTGTCAGCACAGATAAAATAACAGATTTGTTCTGATTTCCGCAAATATCATTGTGTCAGCATTTGGCTTGTGAACAATCATGAAGCTGTAACTTTTTGTTATGTCTAATAATTTGTAATGATGGCATCTGCACCATTATGAAATGCATAACATTTGAACGTGTGAATTTATGCAAAGGGCAACATTAGCAATTAAGGGTTCTTGTTTCTAATATGCATCTATTGATATTTCTCATTGTGAGTGCAACGTGATATCTTTTTAGGAAGATTTTAGAGAAGATGTGCATAATTTTTAAGTGGATACACCTCACCTAATTAGATCTCCAATGGTTATCCGGTTGCACAAACTCTTCTGATGTTTCAGATTAAGCCTCTAATGCACTCTAGTCTCTGCCAAAGTTGCTCAGGCAGAGTGATTGGTCCCAGATTAAAAAAGAAGTTCTGTTGCCCAGTGATACAGGTTTAACAATCTGAGACTGTGCTTCTGTCTCTTCTATCAAAGTCATTTATCACACGATCAGAATCCCTATAACTGGCTCTAATTGGGAGGAAGTGGAGGAGGAGCAGAAATAAGGGGAGCATTCAAGAGAGATGACCCCACAAAGCTGGGATGGGAGGGAAACTGTTTGGCTTTTGTGTCTGGAAACATAAAGGTATCTATCTCCCAAGATGAAGCGTGTTTCTGAAGGGTTAAAGGAAAGAAAGGCACCTTTGAATGGTCACCTGAAGAGCGTGTTACAACTTGTTTTGAGAGTTTTGCCTACAAAATACACAGTCACTACGGCACAGTAAATCCTGCTTAGTGCTTTCAGCCATTACGTTGACTTGACAAAGCGCTATCTCAAATCCAAGGATGATTATTATTATTGTTGCAGAAAGAGAGAGAGAGAAAAGGCAGAAAATAAATCAATGGGAAAATGAATATTAAAAGGAAAAGAAAGAATATTGAGTTACAAAAGTATGAAAATTGGATTGATTCTTTTTCTATTAAAAGTTATCGCACACCAGCAGCATTTTCCACACTAATGCACATTTTCCATCCTCCCAGCTTCTCTGAGAAAGGGAAGGAGGGAGAGAAAGAGAGAGAGAGGGGGGCTGCTAATTTGTAAATGTGAACAAATTATTTTGTGGCTTCTCCCATGACTGACACCCAGTCTCCCTCATAGCGTTTAAATCAAATGGTAAAGTTGAAATAACAGCTAATGAAACCTGCCTTTGCAATTGGCCCTCGTAGTGATGATCTCGGTGTGGTTCATTTTTCAATATAAACACAGTGGTAAATATTTATTGATAAGTATATGCCCACGATAAGTATTTTTTAAAGATCTATGCCTTTTGTTTTATGTAAAGCAGATTACAGTTTCTGTTCCCTGTGGTGACATTTAATTAAAAGTAGCTACCCACAGCACAAGAGGTAATTTATTATGTGTTTTTGTTTTCTTAAAGATGGAAGCTTCAGAGAGTACCGGCCAAACCTCACATCTTTGCTGGTCCAACCAATTTCTGCCGTCCTAGCTAAAGAGCTTCTCTCATCAAATAAGATGGCGAGTGGAAGTGGCTGTGTTCTGCTGGCGAATTCAAGCTCAGGTGAACAGACAAGTTTCAGACTCTTTTACACAAGTTTTTTTAACAAAATTTTTTTTTATCACTCTTGTTTGTTGATACAAAACCCGCACAAACTCTTTTTATCACTGTAACATTGCGAAGTGAACAGCATTATATATTTTATTATAATAATCCTGAAAATAATTCTTGCATTTGATACAGCGCCTTTTCACGTCTTTGAGACGTCTCAAAGCGCTTCACGGGATAATCTGTAGAGTGAATTGACTATTACTGGGGAGAGAGGTGAGTACTAGTTTGAGAGGCCATTCTCTTCGCTACTGAACAGCAGTTATCAAATCGCATAGGTTTCCTACTTTGGTTTACAAAACAGCCCAGCCCCGTCACACAGTGTAGTTGAGTCCCATAAAATCCCAAACACAGCTATGGTTGTCAAGATTTGTTTCAGAAATCTCTATTAGAAACGCTTCCCTTAACCTTGCCCTGCGAGAGTGAGAACAGACTTCTCAACCCTTGTATCACGTGTGGGAATCTGCGCTGTTCCCTCTCAATGAATCTGAACGCAGCCAGCCATCAGGGCAATAAACTTGTACAATGTCACTTTCTTGCGTTTGTATTCTGAAGGTCCGTCTGCTGGATAATCCCCAATGGACGGCCTGTAGTTTGTTTACTTTGAGGGGCCTGGATATCATTGCCTCGGTCTCCACCACAGAGAGCATTTCATTTTCCGCTCATATACCTATTGAAGCCCTGATTGGTTGACACCCAGCTTTGTTAGCAGGTATGGTAAGGGAATGCTCAATCAGGCTTTACATCGTTTTGTACATTCAATTAATTGTCACTGAGTTTTCAAACGCTGATCAAATTAAAGTTAATGAAGCATGAGTCCGTGTATTATGTATCAGTAAAATAGTTCCAAGAAGATTAGCATAAACTGAGTTGAAGTCACCAACCATTGTTGCAGTCCCTATGTAGACTTCCTTCAGTGATCTTCCAGTGGTTTCACTCAAGACCAACGCATGCAAATTGCTTGCTAGATTGAATGTTGTATTTATTGTTTTATAATCGGTTTATTTCACACGTTGCCTCAAGCAACGGCAAATAATGGTAATTGTTCCCGAGTATGTGTTTTCATTGTTGGACAAAGTACTGAATTAGATTTAACTCACCGGTGGATGTGCTACAATATTGTTTTTGCTACTCAGAATGATTAAATAATTTTGACAGGCTCCCTTCTACGCGCTTTCAGCCTAATGATCTGCACTGAAACCTAATTGTGCACCACTGCCATGGTTGGTAGACTTTGGATAAATTGACATAGACACAAAATATATCCTGTTTGACAACCTGCTATTTTTTAATTCAAAATGTAGGTGCAGAAATGTCTTCTATGGCAGATCTGCTGTAGGAACTCTCCTAATCCTATGTGTTAAGTGATCATTTTCAGTATTATTACTAAATCTTATTTATCCCCGTTTCTGATCATCTGGGAGGTAATGGTGCTGTAGGAGTGGAATGGTTATACCTCATTACAGAGGGCCTGACACAGTTGACCAGTTTAATTTTACTGCTGAAGTGCTTAACTGTTACACTGCACAGCACTCTTTAGTTTTTACCTAGAACTTGTCTCCCTGTTGTCAAAGATGATAAATGGGAATCCTGTTTGATGGTGAAGCATTGCATTTCCCTATAGTGAAATTCCATCTTACCAACTGCAGCTGGAATACCAAATACTGGAGAGTGTGATCATCAGACTATTTGTATTCTTGAAGGTAGAGCTGGGATGTAGCTTTTAATCTTTCAAATTTCTGAAGGTCAATGGGGGGGGTTTTCCCAAGCATTTTCTCATCATTAAGGCTTATTGCTTCTCTCAGTGATGAATGGTGATTGCAGTGCATATTCAAATCTGAGATTTTCAGGTAAGCTTACTAGACACAAATAAACTTTGATTGGCGGCTGTAAAGGAGCAGGCACAACAGGGCTTTACTTCCAGACTCTATAATCTAGAGTCTGGCTTTGTAACTTTGTTGAACGTAGCTGATAGCTGGCATAGTCTTCACAAGAACTGGTCCCACATGTCTGCTGGAAATCTAAGCCGGTAATGACAGCGTTGGGTTCAAAGTTGTCCAGTAATTGTAATTTTACTTGAATTTTCAGAAAGAATTTGATAAGGTTGCACACGTGAGGCTTTTACAGAAGCTCACAGAACTTGTGATTGAGCCAATTAGATTGAAAACTATGGTTGGCGAGCAGAACGGTATGGTAAAGTGGGGAAACTTTATGTGTGGACAAGCACTTTGGGTGTTAAACAGAGTCTATTCTGCTTTTTCAGTTGAATTTGGTTTGGTACAAATATTTTGAAGTTAAGTTCAAGTCTAATATATTGTTTTATGCTGTGATTGGAAACTCAGCCCACGACTGCAACCTAGAAAGATGTGGGCCCCAAAAATCCCAATATCTCAGAAAAAAAATTATTTTGCGAGTCAAAAAGTACCTGGATCGTATTAGACAATTTAGGATAATTTTTCTGCAGGCCGTCATCGCAGAATTGAATGGGCTTGAAAATTTGTCTAAGCAGCTTTAAAATAGGAACGGCTCAAGCCACGTTCATACTATTAAAAAAGAAGTGATTTGAAAGGTCTTTAAGATTAACAGGGATTCCGATGGTCAGTGGGGAGACATGAATTCCACTGGTCATTGAGTCCGTGACTGCAGAACATCAATTTAAGGTAATGAACAAAGGGGGAGATGAGGGATTTTTTTTTCCACAGAGAATTGTTAGGATGTGCTAAGGTTGAGGCTGAGTCCATATTAGTTTCCAAGAGGGAACAAGATAGTTATCTAAAAAATAATTATTTGCAGGGGTATGGAGATATGACACGTAAATAGGACTGAATGGATAGCTCTTTCAAAGAGTTAGCACAGACACAACATACCAAAATGGCCATCTTCTATGCTTACATTTCTATATTTCTCTGATATCTCTTCCAGCAGCAATGATGTTGAGCAAGAAGCTGCTGATTAAACTTGTCTCATCTCATTGCCGTAGTCACAGGCTGTTAAATATAACACCCAATACATCGAAGCTGAGAATGCTCTTCGTTGCTTTTTGCTGATATTGCAGAGCCACGACACAAGTTAGTGTGGTCAACATCTCAAGACCCTACTCTTCGACCGCGCCTTCGACCACACTCCCACCATTACCCTCCCTGCCCTCCACCCCTCCTAATCTCAACTCCCAGCTCGGGTCCAAATCCCTGTCTGTCCAGCGCCTTGGGACGTCCTCCCAACATGAAGGGCACTGTGTAAATGCCATTTGTTGTTGTTGTTGTTGTCAATGAAGCTCCAGTGCGATTTGCTTGAAAAACATGCTGCTGAACCCAAATACAGTGCCTACTCATGTCACTGTTTGCTGAGAAAACTGCAATGTAAAGTCAGTAGTGAACATTTGAAAAGCGTTGATACTGTCTGTTTCGTTGCTGTAACTGCAAGTCGTTTGCTGCCTATTTTACAGGGTGGCAGTGATTTGAGCAGCGGAGTGAATTGAGGGCAGGTTTGCAGAATCTCACTGCTCGCTTCGAGTCATGTTCCCTCAGAGCAGAGTTCTTGAATAGCTGAGCTCAGTGCACTCCTCTTCTCAGTGCTGACTGCAAGCTCATTGTTGTTGAATTATTACGGAGTTGGGAGTGCGTCACAATGGGCCACCCAGCAGCTTTTAAACCCAAATATTCTTACGTTTAACCCACAAAATATACAGTCAATTCACTTTGCAGTATATTCTGTGAAGCGCTTTGAGACGTCTCGAAGGCGTGATAATGCGCTGTATCAAATGCGAGGATTATTATTATGATGAGGGGAGGCTGCTGTGTGTAACTTGCCCAGAGCAGCCTGCTATTCTTGGAACGTTGTGCAGAGCTGAGCTGAATCCTTTTTGTTTTTGATATGCACAAGAGCAACCCTCTAGAACTGTGATGAATTGAAATATGCACTTAGACCGTGAGTGAACAGCAGAGCACGGGTCAGATTTAAAAATGTAATATGCTGCTACTAAAACCATGAATATCTGACATTTTACTGAATTACCTTTGTATAATGACCATAAAGGCACAGTGGCACTTTTCCCGTTTGAAAAACATTCCATGTTCCTTATGCTCAGTCCCCAAAGTGACAATATGTTTTAATAAGCAGTTCATTTTCCCTTTCCCCCCCTTCTTAATTAATTCCCTCGTCTCTTAAATTGGCCACTTTCTTTTCGTTACATGGATTGAAGCATGAATCCTTGAAATGATAATGATGGCAGTGTTTGAAGAGAGTATCTCCCAGTCTATCGAGGCTGGGCAAACTCGTCAGTGTTGGTGCTGTGTTCAGCAGTTCAGCTTTGTTGAGAGAGGGGGTGTTGAAAGTTGGCTGGCAGCCACACTTGGCGTGGAGGAGAAGAGAATCAGAAAAAAGGGTTAGGGTTAGAGAAAATAGGATCAGGGTCTCAGCGCAAGGAAAACCGAGAGGCAGGAAACTGCAGTAATAAATCAGAAGAGAGAGAGAGAGGTGTAGGTTTTAAATGGAGCAAAACTAGCTAGAGGCTTAGAATCAGGAATTCATGTCCCGAGTTTCATTTCTCCAGGAAGGACACAAAGCAATGTACAGGTCAAAGCTAACCAAGGAGTATTCGCTGATCCTAAAGTGTATTTCCAGATCTGCATTCAGCTCACTGATGTTGTGGTTCATTCTGCTACCAATAAATAATTGTCGAAACTATTTTGAGTCTGACATTTAATACAGAATGAAGTTATACCGTACGTCAAAATATCACAATCTCAAATGGAGTGGCTTTTTTTTCATTTTGCGAGCAAACACAGCAGTTATTTTTTGCCCGCAGCAAAAAAAAATATTCTTCCTTCTTTTAGACTTTCTTTTTAAAAATGTGTCGTCTATTTCCTTCCCAAGAAAACGTGACCCGTGGGTTCAAGTGATTGAACCACTTTCATAGTTTCATTTGCACCTGTGCTCTCGTTGAGACGAGAGCTGTCAATCAGTGGCTGTGCCTGGAAGTGAGCCACACAGTGCGACTGATTGACAGCAAGTTAAAAAGAGTGGAAATGAGATTCCGATTGAATGGGCTGATGGGTGCTGTCTGCAAACGTTAAAGAGCCAGACACTTTATACATCAAACCTGTTGTGATTTATTTATAAAAGCATCATTTTATACAAGGGCTGCATTTTAACCCACTCGTCAACAAGACAAATAAGGCGAGCAATGAGCAGGAAACTGGAAACGTCGATTGGTGGATCTCGCCACCCACGGGTCATAATCCCTTCAAAAAAAACAACTTAAAGTTACAAAAATATAATAATAATTTGGTCACTTCAATCCACGGCTGTTTGTGGGACGCTGCTGTGCGCAAATGGCTGCTGCGTTTCACCCACATGGTTTACTGTGGAGTGCTTTGAGACGTCTAGAAGACGTGATAAGGCGCTGTATCAAATGCGATGACTATTTATGTTCATGCTGTTGACCAGTAATCCACAGTTTTGTTTGTTCTGATTTCAATATCTTGAGTGGCCAGCTGAATTCCAGCCAATAATTTAGATATTTCAGCAATTTTTCGTGATCATTTGAAACTAGTAGCTACATGGGAAGATACACATCAACCTGCCTCACTCGTCTCCGAGTCAAATGGTTGTGGGTTCAAGGCCCAACGTCAGCAATTTGAACTCACATAGTCTTAAGATGACACACCAGTGCAGTGCTGGGGATGTGTTGCATTGTGAGAGGTGCCGTTCTTCAGATAAGGTCCCGTCCGTCCGTTCAGGTAAACGTTAAGGAATCCTTGCCACCGCACTACTCAACAAAGAGAAGGGACTTTCTCTCGATGTCCTGGCCACCAATCCATCAGATAAGATTGTTAGGTTGTTGGCTGGGTCATTCAGTTCATGGCTGTCTGTGGGTCATTCCTAAGTGAAAACTAGCTGCTGCTTTTGCCTACATAATTCCCAATGCCTAGACTCCACAGTAAACCATGTGGAATGCTTTGCGGTGTTGTCCAAGCATGAAAGGCGCTGCGTGTAATGCAGGGCTTATTATTATAATTTATGACCGGCAAAAGGTTCTCAAAACGCATTTTCCAGAGAAGTCGGTGATTCGCATGTACGTTAAGTTTGCTTGCAACCTGTGACTGTTAATGAACCTTCTTGTGTTTCACTGTGACCGCAGACAGGAAAACTGTCAGACTGGAGGTGGGCACAGTCGCTGACTACAAGACCATTCAGAATGTGATTGGCCGCTTGAAGGGATCTGTCAACCCAGGTAATCTCCAGCCGCAGAAATCACAGCATTCGGGAAAAGAGGAAAACTTTGATTCTAAGTTCTTGTTTTATCCTGAATTGTTTTCCTGCATTGCGTACTTTCCATAGCCTGAGTGTCCCTTCAGGCTCTCGCACCTCCCTGCCTCTCCGATCTCCTTACCCCGCACTCCACCACCCGCTGCCTCCGCTCGGCTGTCTCCGGCCTCCTGTTCGTCCCTCGTCCCCTCCTCACCACCATCGGCAGCCACTGCGCCCTGAAACTTTGTCACTCTCTCCCACAATCCCCTCCACCTTGCCCCCCCCTCCCTCCCTCACTCTCCACCTTCAAATCCCACCTAAACACCTTCCATTTTGATCGTGCTTACGGTCCCCTCCCCCCCTCTCTCCCCCCGGCTCGGGGTCAGACTCTGTCACTGTCAAGTGCTCTGGGACACTACCCTGTGTTAAGGGCACTGTGTAAATGCAAGTTGTTGCTGAGGTCAGACAGTCTATAATATGCAGCAGGATGTATTGTTTTCAGTTCATTGTCACCAACATTTCACTTGTTGAGGAGAAATTTGCCACACATTTTAGTCTGGAATGCATCGCCTGAAAGGCTGGTGGAAGCCGATCCAATAACAACTTTAAGAGAGATGCAGATAATTATTTGGGGAGGACACGTTTGCAGGGCTATGAGGAGAGCGCGGGGGAGTGGGGTTGATCAGGGCTATGGGGAGAGAGCGGGGAGTGGGGTTGATCAGGGTATGGGGAGAGAGCGGGGGAGTGGGGTTGATCAGGGCTATGGGGAGAGAGCGGGAGAGTGGGGTTGATCAGGGCTATGGGGAGAGAGCGGGGGAGTGGGGTTGATCAGGGCTATGGGGAGAGAGCGGGGTTGGTTTGGAAGCTTTTTTCAAAGACCCGGCATAGACACGATTGGCCAAATGGCCTCGTTCTGTGCTGTATAATTCTCTGGTTCTATGAAGCTCTGTAAAACAAATTGGGTCCAGTCTCGATGATATTCAGCCGCAGAAATGTGCAACTCATCTAGGGTTCAATGTCAGGCAGCTCAACGTTGAAAATCATCCACTTTTCCAATTTCCCAATCCAACTTTCTCAGCTCATGTCCGATCCACTCCACATAAGTGAGCTATGGCTAAACACATCTAAACCACAATGTCCTACTTCATACCTGCAAGAGAATACAGTTTCCCAAGGAGCGGACTCGATGGTTGTGCATTGATTCAGGATCCCGTCGCCCTCCTTTATTACAGTCCCATGTTTGGATGGACTGTCAGCAAATCCTGCAAAAACACTGCGCAACAGTACCTGTCAGGTGTAGATTTACAATAAACCTTTGTTTCACCCACACGATGGTACAACAGTCTAATTACAGTTAATTACAGACGGACACAATTCCAGTGTAATCGTGATAGAAACACAATATCCTCCTTCTAGTCCATTCACTGCTAAACTGTAGCAGACCCTTCTCATGGTAACATGCACAGCTGTTTTGTCCAACTCCAGTAGAAGATGCAAAAATATCCCTCTGGGGTGCATCTTGGAGATTGAAAAGATCATCTCTTTTAAATATTGCTCCCAGGGCTACAGAGGGGTGTTTGGTAGACTTAACCCAAAGTCTGATTCTGTCTCCGTTGTTTGTCAAGAGCCTGGGGGTGGAGAGGGGATCAACAACAACTTGCATTTATATAGAGGAAAGACAAGAGGTTAAAGGCGTTCCTGAAAATCCTAGTCACTGGTGCAAACTATGAATAGGGCCAAAAAATAACGAGATGCTTTTGATCTGACAAACGTCTTTAGAAACTAGCCCTATAACCGGGGACAGAAGTGTAATACAATACAGTGTCGCTCTAAATAGAAAATCCTGATCTGACAGTGAGATTCATTGTGTGGCAGATCAAAGGGATGCTATTTCTGGTAGAGTGTAGTGTAGGGGCTGTGCCCTGTGAGTGCACCATTGCGCAAAATGCTTGTTTCACTCTACCTGGAGGTTCTTTGTTCCTATCGTACAGTTTATGCAGGAACCAAAATGTCTCAAAGCAGACGATCCAATTCAGCTGACGCTTTGAAACACATTATCATATGAATTTGTATTCCTACATCGTTCTAGTTCATGTTTGCATCCTACATTTAAATGGGCTTGATTTAATAGACTGAACGGTAGCCAAACGACTACTTTCTATATGAAGAAACGTAGCAAAATAAGAATTCTTAAAAGAGAATATCATTTCCTATTCAGATATCCGGATTCTGCAAGTCTTAAAGGTGATTTGACTTACATTGATCAGTGTTCAAGGATTTTGCATTTAAAAGTTGAACGGTGCCTATTTCAGAGTCACAGAGAAGACTTGATATAAATATTGTGTATTATTTTTGCCTTGCTTGTAAGTAAAGTATTTTTCTTGGGGGAAAAAAGCGATTATTTTTTTAAAAAAAGCTTCCAGCTAAAGAATCATTTTAAATTCAATAACGTCAAATTGTTAAAATTGTTAAAATTACATGGAATTCTTAATCTGAGTATAGTACCTTGGGGGAAATTGTAGATAAATTATGTTTAAATTTCTAAATCATTGCAGGAAAAAGATGTGTCTAATTGAAAGTAATTTTTTATAATTGGATTATCTTTAAATAGGTATAGTGGGGCAAAAATGATCTTTGCATTTGATGTGGAGTGTTCATCACTTGAAATGTCTCAAAGCGCTTCACCTGTGAAGTGCACTGACTGCGTAATGTGCCAAACACATGTTGAAAAAAATGCTTTCAATGCTGAAAACTCAAAGCCATCTGAGCGAGTATAAAGGAAACAAAGAACTTGCATTAATATAGAGCCTTGTGTTAAAATATCTCACAGCATCACAAGATTGGGTTTGGACGAGGATTGCCCTTCGGTCCATGTTGTCTGATCGCTCCAGCCCCTGCATGAGGGGCACTACATAAATGCCTGTTGTTGTTGTTGTTGCTTTTTAAATGAGTCCATTGCTCTGGCTTCAACCATCCTTCCTGGCAACATGTTCCAGGTGTTAAAACTGAAGTGGGTAGATATTTGTTAGGTCTGAGTATTAAGGGATACAGGGCAAGGGCGGGCAATTGGAGTTGAGGTACAGATCGGCCATGATCTTATAGAATGGCCGAATAGGCTCGAGGGGCTGAATGGCCTCCTGTTTCTATGCTTCTATTAGTGCACTTCACAGATAATTACCGTCAAGTGTAGTGACTGACTTGTCCAGGCAGACGCGGCAGTTACCTGTAGGAGCGAAAGTCCCGCAAACAGCCATCTGTTGACTTTATGATTAACTCACGATCTTGGCTTCAGGATGTAGGGAGTTCACATTAGTTCCCACTCCCAACATATTGTTTTCATTGTTTGCTCAGTGCAGCTACAGGTCACACAGGATGTCTACAAGCCGGGCAAACAATCGGCTCCTTTCTCAGCAAAAGCATCATTTGTGCCACAAAGAATTAGCTCGATGGGGCTCCGAACACATAATGACATCATTAATGTAATGACGCGTTTCGCCCACAAAATAAACAATAACAACTTGCGCTTTATATAGCGCTCTCCACCCAGGATAGCGTCTCAGAGCACTGAAAAGCATGGTCAAAATGGAAGGAAGGAAAACAGTCACTACACTTTACAGTATATGCTGTGAAGCGCTTTGAGACGTCTCGCAGACCTGATAAGGTGCTGTATCAAATGCAACGATTATTATTTTTATCAAATTATATTAAACCCATCCTGCGATATAACAGACCTGGTTATTATACTTCATTTAATATTTAATTAAACTATTATTATTCAATGTTTGTAATTGTGTATCAATGGAATCAATCAATCCCCTGAATATACATGGCTTTTTCCACTTTACACCGACCCAAGTAATCTCCTATGTGTAGATATAATACATTTTTCTCAAAGGTTACGGTTTACACGCATTGTAATTTCCTGAAAGTTTTGTTGATCGCCCAACAACAACAGCAACAACAACAACACGATTGCATTTGTTTCGCGCCTTTCACGTCGGGAGGCATGTCCCAAGGCGCTGGACAGTGTACAGCCCACTCAAAAAAGCTCACTGTACTTGACAGCAATTTACTGTAACACATTGTGAACCGGTTCAACGTAAGGCCTTATACAATAACAAGGTCCTCTCTTTATTACACTCAGCCACAAACACCGCTCCCGCGAAATAAACTGAGCTGTTGCAATTCCTTTGTTGTGTAGAGTTGAGCTTGTGTACAGGTTGCGGGGACGTTTTTTGTCCACACCTGAATGTATTTGGTCTCTAACGTGGTGAGGTGTACAATTCAGAGCCTGTCGGCTCGGTTCGGTTCAGTTCAGTGAACGGTGCAAAATATGGTTGCTTGCAGATAAGTATGTTATTGTTGGCAGTCACCATGGCAACGGTGAAGAACTCTGGCCCAGTAGCGCCTCAATCGTGACGGAGATAATCCAGGCCGTGATGTCCCACGTTCGACAGAGAGGGTGGCACCCGAATCGGAGCATCTTGTTTTGTTCCTGGGGAGGGACTGCCTTCGGCAGCATCGGCTCACACGAGTGGGCAGAGGTAAGGTCTCCAGTCACACATTGTAATTGCGTAACAACAATCTTCCCCTCTTGTCGCGGTGCCTTTCTCACAGTAAAGTCTCAAAGCGCTTCACAGGATCTTCTGTAAAGTGTCGGGGGCTGCATTATAATTGCTGAACGCAGCAGCCAATTTGCAAACGACGGTAAAAAAATAATAGTAATAATAATAATCCTCGCATTTGTCACGTCTTCGAGACGTCTCACAGCGCTTCACAGAACATACTGTGGAGTGAATGGACTGTATATTTTGTGGACGAAACGAGGCAGCCGATTGCGCACAGCAGCGTCCCCACATACGCTGAAAGATCAAGAGCAAACTTTAAATTGACATTAATGCTGTGAGTGATGATTGCAATTCAATAATAAGGTCCAACTGATGGTCATCATCAACACACTCAACATCCACAGTGTCTCTTCAACCCTGCAAATATAATGTCTCGGTTATTTATCGTTCTATATCACATAAGCAGCGTATATTAACAATATAGTTTCTCAGTAATTGAGACGGTTATTTCTCTATAAATCGGTGATCATGATATTGAGGCTGTTTGGCCACCTGTGTATTGTGGGGAGGGAAAAATAATGCCTGGTGCTCTAACCAGCATCACTGACCAGTAGTAATATGTTTATCTGTTCACTTAAAGCTGTTATTTAGAACAAGCAAGACCACCGGAGATATGCGTTGCCCTATTGCACAAGATTTCCTCTGGACACTGGTCCACAGCTGCTAACCAGCAAACGTAATTATATCAACCAAAATGTCCAGTGTTTATTACCAATAATAACAGACCAAGGCATGATTTCACATCTTTAATCTAATGAAGAAAACGACATAGCTTTCATTAGATCCCTCCAAGCTTTTCTGTCGTGCTTTATGACATCTTGCGATCCTCTTTATTAGATTACAGCCATGTAATTACTTCCCACTTACCAATATTATATGTATGATCCACGTTGTGGTTTCAGGACCTCCTACAATTCTGTGTCCCCAAACGTAAACATTCGCACCCTCCTGGGTCAGTGTTCATTTGGGTACTAACATCGCAGAAGTGGCTTCAGAGATAAATCTGGATAATTTCAGCCCAGAGTTGGACAGATATATTGTGTGTACTTTATTGAGGATATAGAGTAACAGCTAAAGAGAACAATACAGTAAAGAAAGGTTAAAAGTTGGAGATCAATCATGGGTTTAGCTAAATAAATAATAATCCTTGCATTTGATAGAGCGCCTTATCAGGGTCTTTGAGACGTCTCAAAGCGCTTCACAGGATACACTGTAAAGTGAATTGACTTCGCAATATATTGACGTTAGATGGTGTCTTGAGCTGTGCCTGTTTATGATACCGTCAGAACTTTGCTTGCTTATACATCTGTTATAACTACTTTCTGATTCTCTGAGACGGACACACAGAGGACAGAGGTATAGGGCTGCAAAGGGCAGTATCAGGGCAGAGCCCAGGAGGTTTTTCTTTACCCAGAGAGTAAGGAATTTGTGATTCGTTTCAAAAAGATAGCTCAATACTGTGATGGGAGAAATTTCGAGTGGATATTCTGGAAACATTAGAACAAATGGGCCAAAGAATCTTCTGCATCCAAACCTCTCTGTTATCTTGTGTTCTTTGTCGGTTGAATTGTAGTTTTCTCTTGCCTGCAACATGGTAAACTAATAGATTAAGTTTGGTGGGACATAGCACAGTTTCCTTCCTCCAGATTAACAACATCAGGTAACTTGTACAGGCCACTTGCACACTTTCACATTGAAGAGATTGATTTCACATTGAATTTATTTCTATGCTTGGAAAGCAGGCTCTGAGACACAACGGTGTGAAGGTGCTATTTAACGGCAAGTTATTGTCGCAGAATTAGCTCACATGGATTACAGAAAGGTTAAGTTGTCAATTTGTGCCAGTCGTGGGGCATGAACTGATGATAAAGATTGGAAATCACCGAGATGGTTTCTTTAAAATAAATCGTTTCCATGCTTTGGCTTTGCATTCAATTCATGCACAGTCCAGCCACGTGGACCTGCCCTGTAATCACTTCTAATAATCGTGGGGGCGTTTTGGCAGAATATTCTAAAATGGTAAAACCTTGAGCTGTACTCACAATGATCTTATTGAGTGGGCACACAGCAGGAAAGCTTGCCAGATACCAATATCAATGGCAAGCTATGCGGTTTTAGCTGGTTAGACTCCAGCAGTTACTCCCACGCACACTCTGAGGTCCCCAAGCCTCGGCTGTGTGTCAGACACGCGGTTGACCAAAATATAGGTTTTAGCTGAATCCTCTTTTCACTGTTTCCCCTTTGGCAGTGGCAGATAGTGAAAGCTGTTCACCACTACCTTAAACACATCTAATAATCCCTCCAAAACAAAAAACAATAATAAATTGGTCATTTTCAATCTACGACTGTTTGTGGGACATTGCTGTGCGCAATTGGCTGCCGCGTTCACCCACAAATATACAGTCTATTCACTTTACAGTGTGTTCTGTGAAGCGCTTTGGGACGTCCTCCCGACGTGAAAAGCGCTATATCAAATGCAAGGATTATTATTATTATCTGACTTTTCTGAATCACAATTAATTTGCCTTGGTGATAATCTTCACACTGTAATATGCTGTAATCTGTGACACAAAACAAGCACTTTGATAAAACCTCAGACCTTTCAGATATATTTATATGTAATCTATTTACATAAATTTAAAATGGGGGAAAAACCCACACATCCTTTCTAAGTGCAGGTTCACGTTGGTACAAATTAAAGCTTTGTTACCAGTTGAATGATGATGGCAATTCTTGATCATTTTCAAATAAGAAATCCCTCACAACTACCATCTCCTGTGTACAGTTTGTTAGCACAACCACGACACTACATGTGGGAATTGGGAGTGAGATCGAGATTGGCCTCCATGCAGCAGTAGCATGTGCCAGCCTTATTGGATCTGTCACAGCTCCAGCAAAAGATTTATTGCAGCACAACAAAGCCGAAATTCGAAAGCACATTTTCGATAAGACTCCATCTGTGATGCATGCTCGCCTCGTTCCCAGCATTTTCTCTTCACTGCCCAGGAACGGTTCATCAAATGGTGAAACATTTGATCATGTGCTCCCATTCCTTCGAAAAATCTCTGCGTAGGTTCGATCTCGTCTCTCTAACTAGTTACTTGACCAAGGATGCCCCCACTGTTGTTGAGACGTCTCGAAGATGTGATAAGGCGCGATATCAAATGCAAGGATTATTATTACTATTATAAAGCTTCTGCGGTCATTCCAAAAATCTTACATTCTGAGCCTTCTTTGTTGTGTGTTGTTCTTCTTCTGTGCAAACCTTTGCAATACTTGGTGTGTGTGTACGTGTGTATTTTGCAGCAAGCTGGTTTTGGAGTCCATGATATGATTATTCCTTCCCAATCCTATTATTTATAAGTTACTAAATTGTATTTTCTTTTTTCTCTTTCCTTAAATCAATCTGCTGCTTTGTACATTTGCTCCTCTTCTGAGATAATAATACCACTAATAATAATAATCCTTGCGTTTGGCCCAGCGCCTTATTCAAGATGTCTCAAAGCACTTCACAGGATACACTGGAAAGTGAATTGACTGTGTATTTTGTGGGTGAAACGTGACTGCAGGCAAGAATTTTTGAACCAGAGACCTTTCAATCCTTGCAATCTCTTTTGTGGAGAGAGGAAATGGGTCTTGGGTGACTATTTCTTCAATGCCAATGCCAGGGTTGAGTGAAATCATCACGAATGGATGGTAATAACAATTGAGCAGTGGTCAACAATCTATTAGTTGCATTTATTTTCCTCTCTGCGTTGGACATAACGTGGGCATTTTGTTTCCGAAAGACTCAATAACCTTGTTAACTGCCCTCTTTATGGGATCGTTAAATGTTTACATTGCCTTTCCCTGATTGTTCACTGAAATGTTATGAAAGTCGAGTGGCTGACATTGGGGGCGTTGGGGGGGAAGCTCTTGGCTTGCCCCAGTTTCATCCGTTTTTTTTACTTCTGAAGGGCTTTAGCAAGCGACAGAAGGAAGGAGGCATGCACTCTCACCAAATGTTAAATCCCTACCCAAGCCTTCCTGTTCAAAAACACCAAGCTGTTCTCGTGAATGTTCAGCTCTCGTAAAATAAATGCAAGCTCGCTGAAAGATTAATGCGATTCCACTTTGTCTGCAGCGGGTGCTGTGCTGCACAGTGACATTGCTCCAGATTTTATCAGCCCCACAACCTACCAACAGTGAGCTCACTCAGTGCAGTCCTTGACTCTCACTTCACTAAAGTTACTAGATTTTCTGTGCGCTGAAACTTCATTTTTGTCGTCACCCAAAACAAGAAATTGTGCTATTAATCAGAGTAGTTTATTTTGAATGAATTGGAAGTTGACAATTGACCATTTTTTCCTCACATTTGATGAATTTATCTCTGTTGTACATAGTCACTGGTGGAGACCAAATTCCTAGTGAGTCGGGTGGTCCTAGCTGGACAGGCGGTGGGAATCTTGGCAGACAGTGCTCTCAATGGCAAGCTTTGCAGGTTTAGTTGGTTAGCAGTTACCCCAACTACACACTCTTGGTTCCCCAAGATTTGACTCTCGCCAGCCTGCACCAAATCCTCCCCAGAAAACCATGGGTATAGTTTAACGTACAAGAGTGCTTCCTTATCCCAGAGCAGGCAGATGTAAGAAAGGAAAAGTTTTGTCACCAGGAAGCAATCTCCCTCTGAGTAGCAGTAGGTATAAGTGAACTTATAAAACCTAACCTTTGAGCGAGAGAGCACCAGTTGGCACAGAAACATTTGTCAGATTTAGAATCCTATCTCGGAAAGGTATACGATTTGATGCTGCTTCCAATTGCCTTGTCTGAGAAGATAACATTACACTTCAATAGTAAATTTGATGTATGATTCCTTGGAGTCAAATTGGAAAACTAACCCCAATGTTGTGATACATAATCTACACAGGAGAAGGGTTTTGTTGCTTTGCCTCAACGCATTACAATCCTGATACTGCCAAGCAATGTTTCTTTACCAGCTTTGTATGTGGATGTGCCCTCCCCTGCTCATTATGGAACAGTAGTGAACTGTTTTTCCCTTTGTACAAGTGTAGAAACGAACGCCTTTTCTTAAAGTACTTTTCTCCTCTAGTTCTCTCTCTATGCACCTTCCATCCAGGTGGATAACTTCCTCCTAATTCCTCTTTCAATTCACCTCTGAACTTCCTCAGTGTTATTTCCTCTGGCCGTTGGTCCCAGACACTGAAGGTTGTTGTAAAATTTGGTGGCTCTTAAATTCACAGGAGTTGCCCAAGCGAAGAGCCATCTCTATGGTTTCCTTCCCTCACTTGGGGCAGCCCTGAGCCTCAGCTCAGCCTCTTCCCACAATGGCACATCCGAGATTTAGAACTCAACAGATGTGAACCTGCCTGATTGAATTCCCATTAAAAAAATGGGGATTAAAAAAATAATAATATAATAATTTGGTCACTCAATCCACAGCCGTTTGTGGGGACGCTGCTGTGCGCAATTGGCTGCCGCGTTTCGCCCACAAAATATACAGTCAATTCACTTTACAATATATTCCGTGAAGCGCTTTGAGACATCTCAAAGACATGATCAGGCGCTGTATTAAATGCAAGGATTATTATTATTATTCCACCACTGCACTGTCCTACAGCAATAAGTGTTAAATCAGAACTGTCCTTTATCATATGCATCATGTTGAATGTTTCGTCCACTGAATCCAGCAGTTTTGATGAGGACACATTTTGTAATCAATAGGCTCGGAAGATGTATGTGCGTCTCATCTGGCAGACAGACCTTTATGGCATTTTTGTTTACTTTTTAAATAAAAAGATCTATCTTCATTTTTTGGCTCCCTGCTGAGTGTTTGCCAATCCTCCTATTTCCTGGTATAAAATATACTCGGTTTGTTTAGAAATCTGAATTTCAGCGTGAGATAATAATAATCATAATAATAAATAATAATAATAATCCTTGCATTTGATTTTGGGCCTTGTCACATCTTCGAGACGTCTCAAAGCGCTTCACAGAATATACTGTAAAGTGTAGTGACTATATTTTGTGGACGAAACGCAGCAGCCGTTTGCACACAGCAGTGTCCCACAAACAGTCATGGATTGAGTGATCAATTTTTTTTATGAAGGGATTATTACAACCGGAAAAGCGATCCATCAGTCGACTAACAACCATGTTCCTACTTATTAATCAGAGGCGTGTGGAGTAAGGAAACTTTGCCCAACGTTTTACCCTGCCTGGGAATCGAACCCAGGTCCTCTCGCTTACGAGGCGACGGCTCTAAAACCACTGAGCCACAGGACTCCACAGATAGCGGAAATGTCAAAAAAAAATCAAGTGAGGAAACTCCCGTTGCTTTGCCGTGGAAACTGTTTCCCAGTGTAAAGATTTAACGTAACTTCAAGTATTTGAAAAGAATAATTCATCTCGCGAGCTGTCAGAGCAGTGGTGTGCTGGCAATATGGGTTCTGCCTGGCTGCCGTTTATCCCTCTGTGAGTGCCTGATGCCCTTTTAAATTTCATGTAAGGCACATCTCTTCTGTCATTTATCCTCTGCAAGTAATCCTTTCTTTCGACCTTTAAATTGGGAGATTTTGTCAGTCACACCATTACCTCGATCTCCCCCAACCAGCCCCCCCCACAACGTGCCGACTCCCAAAGAAATACATCGGCCATCGCCAGCTTGGCCTGTGGTCACTCGTGAGCCGGGAGGATCTGGTGAGCTCTCCCTACATTTCATGGGGAATTGGCTCCACTGCAGTTCTAACCTTTGCAGTGTGCAGTCAAAAAGAGCACAGTATTGAAACTGGATCACCAGAGAAGCTGAGCGAGGCTATCCCAGGAGATGGTGAGCCCAGACCCCAGGTCCTCTCACTTGGAAGCGCTCTAACCACTAAGGACTCCCAAGGGTCTCTGCCTCTCCTGGGGTAGGTTTGAGAACCCAGAGTTCAAGCCCGCCTTGGAAACCTCACACCTAAAGCTTGCGAGCAGGCGATGGATAGAAAGGTAGCTGAGGACCTGGATGTTAATTTGTGTTCAAATAGCTCTCTGCACTTCCCACTAGCAATCAACCCGAGCCTCGTTCACCTCAAGCTACCACCGCAGGCTGTCTGCCTGTCAGTTCCATGGCCGTTCGTACAACCTTTCAACTGCTCCCGATCTTCAGCATCTAACCTGGTGCCATGGCGTTGCCGAGCCTGTCAGCACCACGGGGACGGCTGATCGAGGCACAATTGCTGTGGCTCAAACTTTAATAGTCAGGCTGCCAGAGCGCAGAAACACAACTTCCAGCCCTAAAGTCAATCTGACAGCGTTGCCTTGTCAAGACCAGAGTGGGTTTAATTCTTTCAGGGCTGCAGCAGCGTTTCTGCTGGGAAAAATGAAAAATAAAATAAAATAGGAGACTTTGCAGTGCTTCATCATTCCGGTCATGTTCTCCACAGGCAGGGCGGTATACAAATACAAGTTGTTGTCGCTGTTTCCTTCTTTCTACAGCTTTTTGTTCTGTCTGAAGGAAATTTTAAAAATGTGTTCAATCTGGTATAGAGCGCCTTTCGTGAAGGAGAACATCTCAAAACACTTTACAGGAAGTGCCCTTTTCAATTTCATGTAATTTTGTGAAGTGTAGTGACTGTGTATTTTGTAGGCCAATGTGGCAATAGGATACTGGTATTTAAGAGAGATGACTCAAGGCAGCAAGTGCAAGGAACCAACTTGTCAGGAGTATTATTATTCCAACTGGCTGAGCAGCACATCTCACACTTTTTTAATCAGCCTGATGTTTATTCATTCATCTTGAAGGGATTGGGCAAGCGGTTTGAGGCTGATTTAAATAATCCCTGATATACTTGCTTGCCCTAATGGCTAATTCAATTATTGACAGCCTTTGGACCTTAATTCATTCTTAGAATTTCGTTAAAAAAAATTTAAATGGAGAACACAATATAAAATTTTTCGCTTGTAAAACTGAAGTTTTATTGTTTGAAAAATTGCCTTGGTGTTTATATACAGGGTTTCCCCACGGTATCAGAGTCTTACACCTCACCCCACGTATACAGAAGTTAATCAACTGCCAGAGGGAGCTATTAGAGGCTGAAATTCCACCCGGTCTCAGTCCGAAACACCATTCTCCCTTATAATTTAATGTTGTGCAGGATTGCGGGGAAAAAAATTAATTAGAAAGCCATTTTCCACGTTTCTTGCAAAGAACCAGCTTCTAGATTGAAGTATTGAAGAATTTTCCATGGTTCTGCATTCTAAAAATAATAATAATTTGGCCACTCAAATCCATGACTCTGTGGGACGCTGCTGTGCGCAATTGGCTGCCGCGTTTCGCCCACAAATATACAGTTAATTCACTTTACAGTATATCCTGTGAACCGCTTTGAGACGTCGAGAAGACATGAAAAGCGCTATATCAAATGCAAGGATTATTATTATTATGATGATGCACAAACCTGAAACACTATATTTACCACTTTATTGATTTAAAAATCAATTGATCAGATTGTTACAGAGCTTGATAAGTAGCTTTTCTCTTGAGACTATTGGTTATATTTTGAATCGGATATCATGGTTACTATCTGAATCTCTGCATACAGTTTTCTTTGCATCTCGGTCATGAATGATAATTCCAAGGGCAGTTTTGTGGGGGGCAATGAAACGTAAATGCTTGTTTACCTTTGTGACGTCAAACGGCACAAACAAAGTTGCTCTTGTTGGTGTTTTTCAGGAGATGGAGCATGTTCTCCAGGTTAATGCTGTGGCTTACGTTAACCTGTTCAAGCCTGTTTTGGGAAATGGAATTCTGCACACCGTGGCTTCACCTTCCCTTCGGCAACTGGCAGCAGATGTTATAAACACGGTACGTTGCTCTACACGGGTAAACAAAGTGGCTTTGCACGTCATACAATCAGTGCTCGCTTTATCGTTTGGTGACGAATGCATTTGACACTTTACCTTCTGAGAGTCTTAACTCTCTTTTTCATTCCGTTCTCTATTCTTCACCACATTCTCCTTCTGGAAGTTGCTTTCACAATTCTTCCTTTGGGTATTCTAATGTTTCCATTGATTCTCATCGTGTTGTTATTTCTTGCTTGTTTCACTTCTTGACAAATTCTACTGAAATACAATTTAGTAGAACAACAAATTACATTTGCTATAGCGCCTTGAGACGTCCTCCCAAAGTGAAAGGCACTATATAAGTGTAATTTGTTGTTGTTCAAAGGCATTTTCTTTGTATATCGAATGATATGGACATTGTTGTTTAGATACATCGGTTGGCAATTTATTTTCAGATGGAAATTTGACCTTCATTGGTGATGAGTTTGATTCAGAAATAATAATAATAATCCTCGCACTTAAAATAGCGCTTTTCATGTAGGGAGGACATCTCAAAGCACTTCGCAGGATTCACGGTAAAGTGACTATGTATTTTGTAGGCCTGACAAGCTTGATGTGTTTAGGTTGTGGTTCAGGTTGGGATGTGAGCAATCTCTGACACAATTGTGCCATTTCAAATCACATCTTCCTTTCCCTCTCTGCATTTTTGTGAGCATTCTGTGTGTCTCTCGCAGTTGAGTCAATCCCAGGTTTTGGGGAGACTTTGGAAGTTAACGCAAGCAGAATAATTTATTATGATGTCAAGTGCCACTGAATGTTATAGATATTGATTTTTTTATGAAAGTACAGCGTTAGTGACGCCAGGATATTTTGCTGTTCAATGGTTGCTCTACGCAATTGGCAGGTGAAGCCCAGACTGACCGTTCGTTGGAACAAGATGATCGCGTGGCTCCATAATTTGTGGATCAGACTGGCAGCTTTACACTGCTCCGAGAATCGACTCTAAATCCTATTTATATTCTGCTTTTAGCACCGACCGATCCAGTGAAACAATTGGCGTTGAATCGATATCTGACAATACTGTGCGAAATTGGCTGCCGCATTTCACCCATAAAATATACAGTCGATTCACTTTACAGTATATCCTGTGAAACGCTTTGAGACGTCTCGAAGACGTGATAAGGCGCTGTATCAAATGCAAGGATTATTATTATGTTCCATGTGCACCTCTTTCCGTGGCTGTACACACGTCCATTTTTCATGGAATGAAAGTGTTTGATATTTGCGTTGCTCTGTCACAGGCAGCTAAAGATTATTTTAAACAAAAACAGAAGTCACTGGGAACACTCAGCAGATTATTTTAGCTGTTTGTCACCAGCCGTGTGTCACACCACCCTGCTGTATACATCCATTCGGAGTCCTGTAGCTCAGTGGTTAGAGTACTCGCTTTGCAAGCGAGAGACCTGAGTTCAATTCCAGGCAGAGGGCGAAACCTTGGGCAAGTTTCCTTACTCCACACAGAGCCTAATAATAATCCCTCCAAAACCAAAAACAATAATAAATTGGTCATTTTCAATCTACGACTGTTTGTGGGACATTGCTGTGTGCAATTGGCTGCCGCGTTCGCCCACAAATATACAGTCAATTCACTTTACAGTGTGTTCTGTGAAGCGCTTTGGGACGTCCTCCCAACGTGAAAAGCGCTATATCAAATGCAAGGATTATTATTATTATTATCCAGGCCATTCGGTCATGTTTTCCATCAATTATTCAGTAAATAATATTTTTTTTCACCCAAAGGCCAGTGGAAATCTGGAATTCTCTCTCCCAAAAGGCTGTGGGTTATGGCTGGATCCATTCACATTTTCAAGACTGAGGTGGAGAGATGTTTGTTAGGTCAGGGGATCAAGGGATACAGGGCAAGGGCGGGTCATTGGAGTTGAGGTACAGATCAGCCAATAGAATGGCGGAACAGTCTCGAGGGGCTGAATGGCCTCCTCCTGTTCCTATGCTCCTATGTCTCTTGTATGTAGAAAAAGGAAGCACAAATTTGGAACTGGCACCAGACTACATGCATACATGGGAGGCCATTCAGGCCCTCGAGCCTGTTCCACCAGTTTTTGACCTTGGCAGATCTTTTAATACGAATGCCCTGCCCTTTCCCCATGTCCCTAAACACCTCTTCTGCCCAAATATCTGACGTCTTTCTTTTAAACTATCTCTAATAGCATCCACCTGGACAGATTTAAAACTCACATAATCAAAGTATAACTTAGAAGGGAGAGTTACCTCAGCACTCCAGGGTCCAGTTCACTGCTCACCAACGGCTAAATTTAAACCTTGTTTGGTATGCTGTCTAGATTAAGTACAATTGTGGCCTCATTATTTATTTATATGGTAATACTTATTGCAATGTAACCACAGGGCTACATTTTTAATTAAAATATTGCAAAGTGCAAAGTTTTGGCAAACAGGGAGAAGCTATTTCCATGGGAGTCAGTGATGTGAGGATTGTCACAGGAAAAGCCAACGAGAGCTTGGGAACAAGGTTTCTCACCCTTGGCCAAATAAGGTGCTACACCATCAGCAGCCAAACTTTCAGCCACTACGCTCTGAAATTCTGGAACATTCTTCCCTCTATCCCTCCCTCCGCCTTGCCTCCTCCTTCCCCACCTTCAGGTCGCACCTGAAGACCTTCCTCTTCGACCAGTGCCTACGGTCACCTCCCCCTCCCCCCGGCTCGGTGTCGTGCTCCGCCCCTGTCAAGCAAGCGCTCTGGGACGCTCCCTGTGTGAGGGGGGCCATGTAAATGCAAGTTGTTGTTTCAAATCTGAAGTATAAGAAAGATAAAGGCTCAAAGGGGTATGGGGGTTTGTGTGGGTATGGGGGTGTGTGGGTATGGGGGTGTGTGGGTATGGAGGTTATGGGGGTATGTGAGTATGGGGGGTATGTGGATATCAGGGGTATGTGGGTACGGGGGTTATATGGGTATGTTGATATGGGGGGGTATGTGGATATGAGGGTTATGGGGGTAAGTATGGGGGGTATGTGGGTATGTGGATATAGGGGGTATGTGGATATGGGGGATATGGGGGTTATGGGGGTATGTGAGTATGGGGGGTATGTGGATATGGGGGTATGGGGGTTATGGGGGTATGGGGGTTATGGGGGTATGTGAGTATGGGGGATATGTGGGTATGTGGATATGGGGGGTATGGGGGTATGTGAGTATGGGGGGTTTGTGGGTATGTGGATATGGGGGTATGTGGGTATAGGGGGTATGGGGGTATGTGGGTATGGGGGTTTGGGGGTAAAGCGGGCAGCTTGCTCTGTGAGGCGTTGTGATTTTAAAACTCTCCTACCCCTTGATTGAATTCTTCGCCAGCATAGCTTTCTAATTACTTCTTGAATTTGCTGACACAAACTGCTGCCTCTCTCTGTGTGTAAAGTAATTAGATCTGAAATGTCTGTTCAGCTTCCTTCTTCTGAGTTTGAGCTTGTGTTAAATTGTTCTCCATAACAAATGATCATTAAAATGCTATTGGATTTTTATTTCAATAGTAAGTCGATTTGGCGATGGAGAGTTGGTTTCCTGTTAGTGTGTCAACTTGTCGATGTGCTGCAGGGTTTTACAATGTTCAAGTAAGGAGAGCTTTTCTCACAAGTTGTGTAGCCAGGTCTGAGCTGCGGCTTGGCTTGTTGGCCGTGGATTTCGATAACAGGAAGATGTTGATTATTATAATTATTGCATTTGACACAGTGCCTTATCACCTTGTTGAATCATCTCACAGCACTTCACACGATTTACTGTAAAGCGCAGTGATTGTGTATTTTGTAGGCAGACCTGGCAGCCTATTTGCACACAGCAATGTCCCACAAACAGTCATGACGTGAATGACCCAATTTTTTATCTGGCGGGTTGTTGGCCAGGACACTGGGTGAAACTCCCTTCCCTTTTTTTTTGAAAAAGTTTCATGAAATCCACTTAATAAGGACAACGCCTCATCCAAAGGTTGGCACTTCTGGCAATGCGGTGCTCCCCCCAGCCCTGTACTGGAGCATCAGTCCAGATAGACTATAAGCTTAAAGTCCCATCGTAGCGGTTGAACCCACAAGCTTCTGACTCCACAACTTTTAAGCGCTGTTGGGACGCTACCCCCTGTGAACGGTGCTATATAAATATAAGTTGTTGTTGTTAAGAGGGCTACCAACTGAGCCAGGCTGGCATTGTCGAGGGAAGCTTCTCCACTTGTCAGTGTTACTGAGATGTAAAAGTAATAATGTATTTTCAAGTTGGATTGAAAATTCACCCTTGGAAGTGCGGGGAGAGCAGGGTGGGGGAGCGCGGGGAGAGCATTGGTGTGTCAATTAACTTATTGTGGAGGAAGTATCGACTTTGCATTGAAATTGATGTGTATTTTGCAAGATGCAGCCTACGGCATCTGATGGTGAATTTGGGAAAGGATCTGAAAGTTTCTTCTGTAGAGCTGAGTGTGTTAACGACATCCGCAAAGACATTCTGCTGCAACCTATAACCCTGTTTATAATCTTCTTTGATCCTTGAAGGGGAAAGGGAAGATTCTTTTTATACTCTCATTAAACAAAGCAGACAAGTTACTGTGACGGCTGGCACAGCCCGTTCAAACTCTAAACTTTCACCTTGTGGGTCCAGGTCTGTGGTTGGTTGCCCGTCTGACAGGACGAAAGTGAACTCTTGACAATAAGAAGTCTAATAGGTTTAGGCAGTTCTAACCCCATGAACCAATGTTCACAGCATGACATTGGCTGCAATTCAACACTGAATGGGGCAGTTTGAGTCTGAGAGGCCAAAAGGAGTGATGATTGTTGAGGGAAATAGTCTATTTGAGCAGTGCAGTGCAATAGAGAATTTAGCTCTGCCTTAAAATTGTGGTCTACCTTACCTGACTTGGGTGTCGTTCGATGCTGATGTTGAATGAAAGAGATGGGCAGTTGTTCCGTTTCTGTCAGTGATGAACTTCCTGCTGATGAGCATAAAAATCT